CGAAATAATAGATAGATGAAGACATATTAATAAATTCACATTCGATTCTTTATTGGTTGTCATATCGAAGCTTCAAAGTTTGTTATCATTAATTTCATTTGTCTTGTTCTAATATACCATAGACGCAGTAGAAAAAAAACAATGTTCAGTTTCTTTGATATTTTTATAGATAATTTTGTTTTCGATAGTAAAATTTCATTGACAAAATAAATCATTCAATTTTCTTATTTAAACAGCTAATCATGAAGTTGATTTATCAATAAAATAGAACAAATATGAAATACAGAATGACAGATCAACTAGGAATTTTTTTTATCAAAAGAAATCTAAAACAATAATTGTATAAATCTGTTGTTCATGTGATAAAATTATTAAATTGATAATTCAAATTAATAAGAATTCCATAAAACTTTCAGAAAGTAGTTTTCGGATGCATTGATCTATTTCGTTTCTGGTAAAAAGAAATAGAATAAGTATTTCAATTGTTCCTGTCAAACTATTTCTTTTTCTCGTCTCAATAATACTCCAGTTTGTTTTTATTTTTGCTTTACAAGAAACTTAAATTAAAGTTCTTACATAGTTAATTGATTAGAATCGCGTAGTATTAGCAAGCGTTTATCCTCATTTTCATTTCTCTTCCTTTCTTCAGAGCAGATGAACACGAGCTTGCTTACATTCTCTTTTTGACGTTCATCTTTCTCTTGTTACTTGAATGAGGAGAGGAATCAAAGATAATTATCGTTCAAACAAGGACAATTCATCATCAAATTTGCAGATAAATAACTCATCTATCAACCTTATCACAAAACCTAATCAACACACTACCGCCGAAAATATTAACTCGAGAGTTAAGTACAATTTGAAAGAATGATAATGTACATTCGTCAAAATCCCAATGTCTCACTCAACCTTCATCAGCATTTTATTCAGATTCCATATCGTTAATGTCTCAAACACCTAAACGAAACTTAAACTCTAGTGGTAAATATGGTGCAGAAATATGAACACAAAAAATGTTTCATCGAATGGAAAGTAAATAAATACTGGTCAAACGAATATACCAATGGCTGCAGATTTCATATATGTATTGAATAATAATTCTTTCCTAGATCAAGCTCAACAATAACGTCGTTTTTCATTCGAACAGGTAAAACTTGTTGTTTCCAGTAACCTTCCATGACTTTTTATTCGAAAATAAACAAACCGAGAACTCTAAGAGTTAACCATCTCATGTATTAGCAGCAATTATGATTGAAGATTACTTCAAACAACGAGAAATCTCAATCACGTTCTTTCTTGTGAGTCATGCGAGTAATAAATTAAAATTAGGTAATAACACCAAAAAGTCGTACGAAACATTGATATCTGGTACTACACGGCTATCATGAGTCAATAATATCAATATCATTGTCATTAATCTGAAGTTTAGTCTGGACTTTTTTGCATTTGTCCTTCATTACGTACTCCTCAAGTGTTCAACGATGAGATATGTCAAGAAGGAAAAATTGAACGAAATTTCTGATCAGTGAGAAGTGTTAAGTGTATTCAGTATCATTTCTGACAAAAAACCACTAAGTTTCGATTCATTATTTGAAGATCTGAAGGAATGTAATTCAACACTCAAATTGAGTCGAATATCGATTAACGCGTTATACTTGATATTCTCTACTCTCTAATGTCGAAGAATATGGTTCTATGTGCCTAGTAGTGTTTGATATTGTTTACAAAGTAGATACCTTTATTCATATTTTTACTGAAATCGATGAACTGTGAAATAGATTTTGAAGTTCTCATTTGAATATTTTTCATCAAAACGAAACTAATGAGAAACGTAGATGTTGTATATATAACAATATTGAAATATTTAAAAAGATCAATGATAGATTTTAATGTTGAAAATACAGTTATTAATGATATTAATGGATTTCCAGGAACAGTTCGAATAATCGCTGTGTAATGAGACTGGTTGAGCAAACCAGAATTTTAGAAGAATTAACACCACATATAGTTGAAAACACAATCATTACTACTTGATTTTAACGCATCCATAACATAATGGGGAAGAACGTAATCGAATAAAATAAATAGAAGCTTACAAGAATGGGTAGAAGAAAAAAAAACTTTGTTACATTCCATATATGTTGCATTGTTCAAAACATTACAATAGAAAAATTGATTTAACATTTTCAAATGTAGAAGAAACAGTAACAGAGACTCTAAATATAGAAACTAGTGATCACTGTCCAGTAATGATAACTTTCGAAAATGAGAGTCTAGATAAGAATAAAATATGTCCTTTTGTAAATTGGAAGGTATATGAGGCTATTCTCAGGTTGTTACAAGAATTTTGGATTGAAGAAGCATAACAGAGGAATGTACGAGCACGAATTTTATATGAATTATGTCCGCTCTCTTGATGCTCTAAAGACAGATTTACACGATGGAGAGAATAAAATGACTATCTTATTGCACTTTATCTTATTCAGGAGTTAAAAGAAGCAAAACGAGTGAGACAATAGAATAATCGAGAGAAAAAACAATTGCCATTACAAACACCGAGTCAAAAGTGCTATTGGATGTATTAATATGAGAAGTAAAATTTGAAATTTCAAAAATGTAAGTCAAGTAAATGACATGATTTTCTGTTCGAAATTCAAGAAGCGCATGGCAAGACAAATAGATCATTTTGATTAAACCTCCATTAGAAATATATATTCATAGATCACTATCCTTTTCGAAATTAGATATTTAGTAAAATAATATTGATAAAAGACAACGAAATCATGGATGAACTTTACAGATACTACTTAGAATAATTCAAAGCACAAAGTACGGATATGTCAAATCTTCATTAATATTAAATTAAAGCAGAATATCTAGACTTGATAAATAAACTAGCAGTGCTAAATAAAAAGATCAAAATGATGAATGTTTTTAGATATTGAAAAAAAACATATATTAAAGTAAAAATTAAAAAATCTATCTGGTTTCTGTGAAGTGTCTTATTTTATGATTAAAAGAATTCCATCGAGTTATTCTAGTTGTTCAGCACAATGTTTTAAAACTTGACTAAACGAATACAAATAGTTCGATGTCTGAAAATTAACTAATTAGAATAGTTAAGTTAAGCATAATAAAAGTAGGAGTACCCTGTTATGATTCTAGATAGGATCAATGTCACGTTTAGCATTGACTATCAAAAGATATACGATATAGTTTGAAAAAAAGTATTTGTTGTTAAATTCTATAAAATTGATTTACCTTTAGGACTATCGACACTAATTATTTCAAAGCTAAGTGACTGTCGTGCATGTATAATATTTGAAAATATTTTAATACCATGTTGAGCTGTCTTAATGCAATATTTTGAGCCAATATTTGGTTGTTATATTTCATTATAATCTTGTTTTATGTGTAGATGTTCATTCTAGCCACATGTTTGTTGATGACCGTAACATATTCATATCATCCTCGTCAATATGCCGAAGAATCAAGCGAATGATTCATTGTTTTGAAGAAAGAACAAAAACGTATCTAAGAAAATAGTGAGTTACTGGAAGATATGAAAAACCCAGTGGTATTGTCCAAAACAGTAGTGCAGGTTTTGCAGTCACAAGTACAAATTTCAGTAACTCAGACGAATACGATGTCTTCGAAATTAACAATTGATAAATCCTTTCAAAACATTCATACAACGGTTTATAAATAAAAATAGATGAAAGATGGTAGAACTCTTATCAAAGATATCTGACAAAGATATATTTTTTGCTCACAATTTTTTCCTATATTCATTCTTACCCAAAACCTAAAAAGAATTACTTCTAAAAATAATTTAGAAACGGATTTCAGACTGACTCATCGCTGTTCCTTTGTACTCGAGCTATAAAACTTATCCAAATAATAAATGAAGAGTTATTAGAGGAGTATATTAAAAGATATATATAGAAGAGATTAGAACGAATTGAAAAAAACAACAGATTTCTGGCACTCGCCTTTCTACAAGCGTATATTTTACTGTGATGCATTTCATAAGAGTGAATGTGATAATCTCCGTGTTTTTTTTTGTTTGTCGACAGCAATTATTCACTATTATGCGTGAAAATCATGAATCACTTCTTCTTTAATGACTTGGATATTTATATATGTGAAGTCAGTTATATTGCTATTTGCGTTGTTATCTCCTCTGTTTGGTTTCTCGCCTTATTTCGTTATACATTCATGATTTATTTATTTCTCTTTTCTTTTTCCTATTACTAGTTTTGTTTTCGTCTCTTGTTATTTATCAAAGATTGTATCTTATAAATATATTGTTTTTTTGTTTTACGTTTATATGGTCCATGGTCGTATGAATCAAGCAACTGTGAATACTTACGGTATTCTTTCTTGTAAATACTTTCTAGTGTGACAATAAAGAGGGGGTAATTAAAAATAAACACCTTTATCGTTTTCTTGATAAAGTAAGAGGTTTAAAATGAAATAGTATTCGAAATAACTGTCAAATATAAGATCTACTAATTAATTTAGTCTACCTTTAATATTTGCTTTTGTTTGTTTATATTTTCAAAAAAAAATATTATTATTATTATTATTATATGTCAACATAGAGTTATAAAAAACATTGATACGAATTTGAATGTGCATATTACAGTCTCCTATCGTTTAAACACACATATGATCAGTACATTTCAGTACAATGTTTTCATTAAAAAATCATCTGAAATATTTTTGATAAGATGTGCTTTTTTAAGAAATATAAGCTTTAACCCGACGATTCTACGAACAAAAACGTTCTATACAATTGAAAAAAAAACAAAATAAACTGAAATTTTCTCAAAAGAATTCTGATACACACAGTAATTAGTTAAACAACTGATACAATTAAAATGATTATTATGAGGAAAAGAAATAAATTAATAAACCGTCCAATATAGGACAATATCCTTGAGCACGGTAAAGTCGATCTTAATGACTCATTGTTATGATCCATAATTGAATACTGTTTATTTTCTTCCAGCTACAACTGTAGTTGTTGTTGTTGTTTTTGTTGTTGTTGTTGTTGTTGTGGTGGTGGTGGTGGTGGTGGTAGTGGTGGTGGTAGTGGTGGTGGTCGTTGTTGTGGTTGTTGTTGTTGTTGTATTTGCTACACTCGTTGTTGTAGTTGTTGTAGTTGTTGTAGATGTTGTAGATGTTGTTGTTGTTGTTGTAGTTACTGTAGATAGAGTCAAAACAAAATTTCCACTATCATTATGCAATCCAATACCCAAACCTAAACCTAATGCTAAACCTATGAGAGTCAGACCAGCACCAATACCAACAATTATCACTAGTGCCCGTGGTCTCCAAGGGGTCCACGGTTTTATTCCAGCAGCAGGCTTATTTTTCGGCATGCTTAGGCAGACGAATGCTCACCACTATAGCGTTGTTTATAATTGCTCGTGTGTGGTCTAACTTTTTACCTTAATGTTTATTCTTATTGTCAATAAATGATAATTTTCTTTAATGCGAAGGACGAGAGTATGGGTTGTTTACACGTGCACAAAAAAGAATATAATAAATAATAAGAACGATAAAGCATATTGTTTTATTAGAGAAATATTATTCATGTGAAAAATATTTTCGATCTAAAACATATTATATTTGAATAAAGTACGTGCATTTATGAATGTTTCTTAATTTTTATTTTTAGATAGAACATTTGTTAACATATGACTATATTGTACAAGAATAAAAACACAATTAAACATGAAATCTTATTTTCTTCATTCTTTATTAAAGTCTAATCATTATCATAATACTTTCATATCTGTACACTGTAGCAGATAACAAGCTGAAATTTTACTAACGAGGGAAGTACCCCAACTGTTTAAAAGCTTTTGACTCCATCTTTTAGCTATAAGAAGGTTTCAGTGAGACTAAGAAAATCCTAGAAGGATTTGTGCCCATGGCCTATTGATCAAGAGTTATGACTGATTTTTTGTAAGAAGCATGCAACAAGCAACTAGTTTTTTTCAAATCCAATATCTCGAGAAGACGACATTCGTTTTGACTGAAACTTTCAGAGTATTCTAATCATCATTAGACCTATCAATGCGTAAAATTTCAGACCGAAATCTTGTAATTTCATTTTGCGGTGAATACCTACAGATAGGCCAAAAATTTCGTAAATCGATCATAACTCTTGATGAATAGGTCATGGGCACGAGTCCTTTTACGATTTTCTTAGTCTCACTGAAACTTGCTTATAGCTAAAAGATGGAGTCAAAAGCTTTTAAACAGTTGGGATACTTTCCTTGTAAGATATAAGTTATGAACCGTCAAACAGTGTGAACACATGTGTTTTATAATAGATGATATGTAAGGAAAGATGTTAGATATATGATGGATGTGTTTAATAAGTTTATTTATGGATACTGAAAGATTTATCATAATTTTTACGAAACGAAATTCTAAAGATCAAAAATACTCAGAATTATAAAAACTTCATTGAATGTAAAAATCAAACTTCTGGGTTTTTTTTGATCAAATATAAAACAGAAGAAAAATACAATGATGTTTGCTGTGTATTTATTTTATTAACATATGCCGATGGCAGTTTAGTAAATCATATTATCTATAGAATCATTAATAGTTGATCTATCAAATTCAAATTTATGAATGAACAATTTTTGAGATGTTTTTTTAAATTGTCGTGAAAATATAGTTATGTTTAAACATAATATATTCTTTTTAAATGAGAGTTCATGTCAGACTTTGCCTGAAACATTACTGTTCATCAATATAAATATGTAATGTTATTATCTTTTGGTTTTTTTTTTCAAATGATCTAAAGAGAAACATCATTAATTTAACTAAATCTTCGATCATTTTTTTTTTGCATTCGAAAAGAATTCATTGTCTAATGTGAATGAACGTCACTATAGATATATTTGCATTAATTTAATCATAATGAATTCATTAATGAAAAAAACGAAGATTGTTATCTAGAAATGAGTATAATGTTCTCTTTTAAAAATAATATTTATCTTTATATTCAAAATATGTTTTTTCGTATTGATATTTAAATTCAATCAATCAATTCCTTGATGCCAGTCGCTACCATGTTACAATGATGAACTATATTTCTACCTGACAAGATATATTTTCGTTAATAATATTTCCTTTTTGAAAAGAACCTGTTTGATTTTCTTATGTTAGTAATTATAATTAATAAACAGGATTTTTTCTTACTAATGAAATATGTAAGAAAGCACTATGTCGAATATTGGTTTCAAAGAAATTGATTGATATGTTGTCATCATAAAAACTTATTGTGTACAGTTGCATTATTTTCTATACAACTATTTCATAACAGTGATAATGTATATTTATATATGGTTTTAATCAGAATATCATAGCGATCGGAGATGATCAAACATTAATCGTCTACTTGCAATATTTGTTACGTAAAAAGGGCATTAACGAAATGTCATATTCAAAGATAGAATCATTTTATACCATGTAATCATATATTTATTATGAATAAATATAATTTCGTCGTGAATAAGTGCTTTTTTTTTCAAAAGACTCATTTACAAATATGACATATTTAATAATAATGATTGTTATTAACAATCACTAGTCAATACATTACATTGAATATAAAAATTATTATGCAAAAAACAAACATTTGAATTCTATGAATAACATTTCTTTATTTTGCTAATAAAATGATAGCTTAAAAAGTAGTATACTGCTACAATCTAGACTATAATGATAATAATGAAGTGGTATATAGAAATATTTAAAAAACAAAATCATACTCATATATGTAATGTTACATGGAATCTGACAAGAGTTATCGATTGATGTATGAAACTGATAATGAATGTTTATAGTAGATAAACAGAAGACAGAAATTCCTTCAGAACTTTGGAATATGTAGAGTTTGAAAATGTAGATATAAATTATCAAGAATTATTGCTCATATAACATCATGCAGTGTCTAATTATATTATCTCAAAATGTTTTAAATATTCAATGCACTTATAATGATCAAATACAATATGTGTACATCGTATCTTCTTAGACATTATTGTCAAAATGACACTTATTTTAATTCATTTGNAATGTTTGGAAATTGTTGATGATAAATGATGATGAGATTTGGATATTGTACTGACAGGACTTCGACTAGTACTACTCGTACGACGACTTGACGTCGATAAACCCACTGTAGCTGGTGTTGGACGATAACTAGATGATTTGTATGGCTGAGAAAACACACACACACATATATTATGAGATAATTATTTAAGAATATTCATCTCTTTTTTTGACCATATATTAAGTTAAATTTTTTTTTCTTCTTATATTTAAATAAGATCTTATCGAGAAAGAAAATTACAGAATTGTAATTGGAAAAAAGTCTTATATAATCTGGACTAATTGAAGAAGAATTTTATTATATTTTCAAAATGTGCATTTTCCACGTATGGAAAATCGACGTGTAACTTTCGTCGCTCGAAAATAATTTTCTTTTGCCCGAAAATGTGATTGTATATTATTCATGAAGGATTTATCCATCGTTTAAACGTTTTACTGAATTTTCGATCTCAAATTTTACCTGTAAATAGGTCTAATAATCCTTCGAATACTTTGAAAGTTTCAGACGAAAAGAATATTCGTTTGTCGAGATATTGAATATCCAAAAAAATGGTCCTTTGTTACAAAAATTGAGTGTTCTTGAAAATTCAATATCTCAACAAAAGTACATTCTTTTCATCTGACACTTTCAAGATTTTCTAAGGATCATTAGACCTACCTATGGTCGAAATTTCATATCGGAATTTCGTTATTTGATTTTTCAGCAAAATATCTAAAGCTGGAACGAAAATTCAGTAAAACGATCATAACTCGGCTCTAGAAATTCATGAGCACGAATTCTTTTAAGATTTTTAAATTCTTATCAAAAATTTCTTGTGCACTTAATATGAACTCAAATGGTGAATAACTCGGCTAGTTCGCTCATTAGAAGAAAAGGAATTTTTTGACGGAAAACTCCTGAGAGAAAAATCTCCTCAATATTGTTTCTCAATAAAGTATCTTATGTTATACATCATCCGATGTAGTTTTCACATGCTGATTTCGAATATAGCATTTATTTTTAACAGAAATGCTTTCGACTGTAAAAAACAAGAAGTCAAACAGAAAAATCTGCTGTATGGTTCGTTGATAGTTTATGCTAACAATAACGATAGAGAAGTGGAGTTTTAGCTCAACTTTGACTATTTTCGTTTTTGGTCAAAAAAAGAGACGAGTATTCTTACGAAAAAAAAATAATTTAAAGTTGTTTTCTTTTTTCATTTCTTACTTTATATATTGGATGATTACCATTATTAATTGCAATACGACGTTGACCACTCATGGCTGATAATGGTGGACGAACCATATTATTTCGACGATAAGCTTGTGTTAAGCTCATTCGATGACTTCTATCATAATCATCATCTTCACCACCACCCATATCATACATAGGTCCTAAAATATAACAAGAGAAAATTTATTTGAATAATAAATATTATTGTTTTACTTGTAGATCGATATGTTGTCTGTTTTCGTGGTCCATATCTTGAATTAATTTCTTCATATTGATCATAATCATCATCATCATCATCATCATGCCATTGTCGACGTGAACCAGGTGGTCGTCCACGCATACCTGTACCACGTCGTCCTGGATATGTACCACGTCCACGATAATTTGGACGTTTAGGCGTATATTGTCCTTTTGGTACATAATCAAAATCATTTGGTTCTTCGCCAGCTGGTGGTAAATTATCTTCATCATCATCTTCGGATTTTTCTTGTTGATCATTCATCCATTTAGGTCGTTTAATCTCTGGTTGCTGTTGTTGTTGTTGTTGATGTTGTTGTTGTTGTTGCTGTTGTGGGCGTGATTTCATTGTTGTACTTTTAACAGCATAAATACGAGGACGAGGTTTATCTTCTGTTGATGTTGGTGTTGTCGTTGTTGTTGTCATTTTTGTACCTGTATCGTTATATGAAGGAACAAAATCATTTTGAAAAACATTATTTAATGTTATAACAGAAGTTGATTTTTTTTGTGAATTTTGTTCAATATTATCACGTTTTGTTATTGTATTATTATTATCAATTGGTTGACCAGATAAAGCATCAAAATTAGTTAAACGTGGAATAATAGCACGTTTACGTTGTGCTGTTGGATCAATTTGATTTGATGATGAATCACGTGGTTCTTCTTTTGGTATACGACGTTTAAGAATTTCAATTGACATTTTACTTGAACCTTTCCAAACAAATTCAACTGAATCATCACTAAAATCATCATCAGATTGATGTTGTTGTTGCTGTTGTTGTTGTTGTTGTACTTGAGGTTGATGTTGTTGTTGTGGTGAACCAAATTGCATAAGATCTTTTTCATCAATAGTTGACATTTTTTGATTATTATTATTATTTTTATTATTATCTTCATCATATTCATTAAGATCAGTTTTAGGATTTGTATCTGTTGATAAAGTTTTCTTTTTTATATAACGACGTTTTATTGATTGAGGTGGAGTTATATTTTCGGTTTCAATTTGTTGTTTAGATTTATCTTGCTCACTATTATTATTATTATCATTTATATTTGACATTTTTGGTTTACGTCCACGTTTTTTTGGTGTAGAATTACTTTTTTCACTTACGGATGTATTTGTTTGAGATATAAGACGTGATGCACGACGTGTAACTGGTTTTTCGTATGAATATTTACTTGAGTGTTTACGTTTTGTTATTAAGGAATTTTCTTCTGTATCACTATCACTTTCAATATTTAATGATGATATTGATGTACGTTTTGGAATTTCTTCAATTTTAGGAGTTTTGGGTGGTCGACCACGAGAACGTTTTATTGGTGTTATGTTTTTACGTGTGAACACCGAAGGTTTCTTTTTATGATCTTCGTCGTCGTCGGATTGAAATGTATATTTATCTGAAGGTGTTTGTTGTTTATTTGTGGATAATGAACGAGTAGACGGTCGTTTTAATGGAGATAATGTTGTTGACTTTTTACGCATGATGATAAATGACTAACGATCAGCATGAGCTTTTCGTTGTCGAGATTAATAAAATTAAAAGGAAAAAAAAATAAAGATATATTTATTATTATCTAAAAAAGAATTAATCATGTTTAAATAAACAGATCATATAGGAAAACAATAAAGATAATAACAAAACAAAATTCGTTATGTTAACAGGACAATAAATAACAATTAGAAAAATAGACAACAAAAACAAAACAAGTTTTGGAAAACAAGATTCCTTTTTGAAAAACACAATTACAACCGAAGGTATAAGAAATACCACCGGTTGAATATGATTTGAGATCGGAAAACAAAACAAACGTGCCTATCAATTTTGTCATTCCTGTTATAAAAAAAATATCCTCATACTTGAATAAATTAAAAAAAATGGAATCAAAAAAAAAAAGAATATTTCCTATTAAGTTTCAATATGAATTTTTTCTACTGTCGTTCGTACTTCTGTAGCAGTAACAGTTAATGGCCATACTCCACCTATAATTCCTGCTTGTATTGATACTCCATGTGTAACAGCAACATCAGGATCAATTTCAATATTAGGTTTTTTTTGAAAATAGTCTTCAATTAATTGTCGAATTTTTAACATACGTGTTGAACCACCAACTAAAACAATTTCATCAATATTATTAGCTGTTAATCTATTACTTATATCATCATTATCATCTTCCTCATTAATATCTGAATTAATATATGCAAATATTCTATCTAATGGTTCAAGAATTTTTTTAAATAAATCTTGATTTATATTTTCAAATAAATCTCTTGTTATAATCCATTTTGAATTAATTATACATTGATCTAATATTGATAAATCAAGTTTACATTTTTCAATTTCAATTCGTAAATGTTGTAAAAAATTTGGATCAGTTTTATTAGTATTATTATCATCAATTAATGTTAATATATAATGAAATAAATTTTGATTAAAATCTTGTCCACCTAAACGATTATTACCCGCCATAGCTTGTGTTGAAAACATTCCACCTTGTACAGATAATAAACTAACATCAGTTGTACCACCGCCTATATCAATAACTAATACATAACGTACATTATCACGTTTATGTAGACCATATGCTAATGCAGCTGCTGTTGGTTCTGATATAATTCTTTCAACTTTTAAATCAATTGATTCTGCTGCTTGTCTTGTTGCAGTGCGTTGTTCATCATTAAATTCAGCAGGTACACTTAATACACAAAGTTTAATTTTTGAAATCATTAAATATTTTTCAACTAATCCTTTTAAATGTTTTAATAATAAAGAACCAATTTCTTGTGGTGTTATACGTGTACCATTTTCTGATATAATAAATTCAACATAACCATTTTGATTACGTATTATTTCAAATGGATAATCTTTTTGAATTTTTTTTATTGTTTCTAATGAAAATTGTTTACCTATAAAACGTTTTGTATCATAAATTGTATATTTTGGATTTGTTTCAAGATGATCAAATGCATCATAACCTAATAGAATTGTTCCATTAGGTAAAAATGATACAATTGATGGCATACATGAACGATTACGTTGTGCTGGTATAACTTCTACTAAACCACTTATAGCATGATAAATTCCAACACATGAATATGTTGTACCTAAATCAAAACCGACTACTTTTGGTTTCGGTGCAGGTAAAAATTGTTGACCAAAATAACCAGCTATAAGTAGAACAATTAAACTTCCACCAATTAATGTGCATGTTGTTTCAGATGAAACCATCTAAACCAAAATACAAAAAATACAAAAACGAGAAAATGATATTTATTTTTCGAGACAAAAGAGGGCATGTGTAGTCGGAGAATAATCAATCGCCATCTTTGTTTAATTGTCCTCCCTATTAATACGTTTAGGTCAACAAAGATATTTAATAACCAATGAAATAAAATTTTTTGTATTTATAAAGTTAAACAAAAATTTTAATTAAAAATTAAAATCATAGATGAAAATTTTATTATTTTTTTTTTCTAAGGAAAAAATGATGAAATTATTAACGACATCTTTGTATTATAATGAATCTATTGGATAGAAATAGAACGAATAAAAGTTTCTAAAAAAATATATATTTTTCATGTCTTTCGCTTATTCTTCAGATTTTTAGAAGAACGAAGAAGTTAGATATCATATATATATTTTAGATAATAATCTGCTTATTTTCGTTTGTTGTATTCCATGTAATTAATATATTGTTTATACTTAATAATTATCTTGAGTGGCACTAATGTTCGGTCGAACGAAGCCGGGCAAAGCCGATGAAACAATTCAAAGAACAAAAGAAAAAATAACTGATTTAACAAAAAATTCATCTGATCGACAACGTCATTTAAAACAATTAATTGGTATGCGCTATAGTGAAAACAAAGCTATTCTGTTTTTTACTATGAGTATAATTTAAAAATGACTATATTTTTTTTTTTGATTTAGATCAATTATCTATTGATGATTTACAAGCATTTTTTAAAACTTCATATCAGTATATTTTTTACTTATTCTTTGAAAATTTTAGTCAAGTTGAAAGTAATTTAACACGAGCACGTACGTTATGATTGAAAGAAGTCAACAAAAATAAAGAATAGTAAAGAAATTTTTGTTTGTTTTTGTTTTTAGTTTCAAAACAAAATCAATTAGAACTTGAATATGTTACCAATTTATTGGAGGTAAATGAATATTCATATTGACTAATAGATTAATTATTTAAAGTAGAAATTTCCCTTGAGATTCATTGGTGAATAGATATTTGTGGAAAAAATAAAACGAATAAATAATTTCAATATGTATTTCATTGATAAATGAATTTGTTTTTTCGATGGTTAATCTGTTTACCTCATAGATATCAAGTGTGAAAACATATATGTTTGATGAATCTATGATTTGATCGATTAAACAGTTGTGCCACTGATAAATGATTATAATTGAAGCGTAGAATAAAAACTGTCAGAATTACAATTCAACCATTCTTTATTAGTATTTCATTTGATCTCTTGAGACTTTTCAATTCCTATACATGTAGAATTTCTCAATAAAAATATCAATTTTAATGTCATGACCTATTCTTTATGTTTAATTAGTATTTTCTTTTTTTCTTTTTTCTGTAGCGCATTCTTACATTATTACCTGCACTTGTACATCAAAGATGGCAAGCACATTGTATATTCAATGTAATCAAACGATATTTTGTTGTTTGTAATAGTTCACAAGTAAATAAATTTTAATTTTCCTACAAAAAAAACAAAAAAATAAAATAAATTATTGAATTAAAATAGGGTGTTGCACGTGGCATACGACTATTTCTTCTTTGGTATCAAATATTAGGTAATAATGCTGTTGATGATGAACATACATTTTTTAAAAGTCTTATACGTAATTGGAATCAAACATTGGTTGGTACACGTGGTAGTGGAGAAAATACAAATACAGATGAACAAGTATCGGCAGCATTTAGTGAAACATTTCGAACAGCACCTGGTTTGTAATGATATATATATATATATATATATGTAGAAGATTAACTTTCGAATATTTTAGAAACTTTTCGGTGGACTGATATAATTCCAATATGGCCAAAAAATACTTCTGATTATGAACCAACTGTTGAGCGTTGGCTTTTTTTTATGTTACATACTATGTCGGATACATGTAAACGTATTTTATGGGATTCAAATCGTGAATCATCACGTTCAGAAAAACAAGAAGAATGTTTTCGATTTTTATTTGATATGTTTAAACATTATTATATGCCAACACTTTTTCCAACATTTACTGAACAAAATATTTATGATTTATCTATACCAAGTAAAAAAAAAATTATTTTTTTTTTTGTTATTAGAAAAAACAATAAAAAAAAAAAATTCTTCTAGTAACAATTCCTGAAACAGTACGAAGTGAAAGTGATCGATCAAGAAGACGACAAGCATGTTTATGTCGAACAGCATTTGTTATGTGGTTATTACCATTTCTTAATGAAGGACAAAATCGTGATAGAACATTGTGAGTTTTTTTCTTCCCGGAAATTCTCATCAAAAAGTTTTTGTTAGTTGAAATTTAATTTAGAATAGTATGCTTCATTTTGTTTGTAAAAATTTCTAGATTAATTATTTAACCTAAACAAAATAAATTGATGTTAATTATTAGCAGGAAATATAACTTGATAAACGAAAAATCTTGAAAGTATAAAATATAAATGCAATTTCAATAGTTGATAGATACATGATTTATTGATCATAAGTTTGTTGAAGAATAATAAAAATTTAAGAATTAAGAGTATACCCATATAGTGAAACCTGGAGGAAAACCACCGCTTTATCGCGGTTTTACCAGTTGCATTACAGCGATTAACCGGCGTTTTTTTTTTCTGGTAAACCACTACTTATTCCTGACGTATCGCGGTTAACCGCTACTTTTCTCTGATTGGCAAGAAAAACAGTTAATCAATGATCTTTGTCAGTAAACTGCGGTTCACTGCTAAAAACGATCCTGTTTTTATGACATGAGTACAGATACAATATTAATTATGATGCGGTGTAGATCTTTTCTTCAGCTACGCATCAATGAAAAACAAAAATGAATTTATTTCTTTCGAGTAATTAATGCTCTCCCAAACACAACTATTTTATGAACTACTATATGTTGTTCATTTGAGATCCTCGCGAACTCTAATTGATAAAATAAATATATATAACACATGAACTTGTTACTAGTTTATTATGAACATATGAAGACTTGATTACAAAAAAATGCATTTATTTTAAACTATACTTATTTAGTCTCTTTTTAATAATAGTTGTATCCATTCTCTATTTTTGAGATAATGAAAATCATACATCACTATTCAGTATTTAGATATGATATGAAATGCTCAATTATACGAAGAACAACTACGTATGATTGACTGATATTGTCAGTATACTGTAAGAGGTGTTTCTAATGCGTATACCGAAAAGAACATGGTTCGATTACTTGTTATTAATAAATCTTACTG